AGTTTTGTTATGCTGTTTACAGAGGTTTATTCTGTTGTTTACAAATGAAGTTTCATGTTTTATACTAATTTGATTAAGTTATTGTTGTGCAATAAAACAATCAATACCTCTTTCTCATTGCAGTATGTTCATCACAGCAGCCGTCGTCTATACAATATATGTGAATAAACCCAGAAAATTATAACCCCCCTCCTTCACTCTTGGAAAAATTGTTAGCCCCCCTTTTTTTCACATACAGAAAATGGAAAGGCCCCCCCTAGAATTGCCCGGCACCCCCCAGGCCAGATTAACTGGTGATTCCCTGACAGACGACACATACTATATTGTTAATCCATTTGAAGAATAATTGCAAATAATCTTTTTCAGGGGAAATATAACTGAAATATATAAAGCACGGGTAACATGTTGCTCTAATGTCAATCTCAATTTCAAACAGTTGTATTATAACATGTACCACACATTACAGCAAGTCTCAGAAGTATTGGGGCAGCAATTTGCAAATTTTAACTCGCTAGCGAATTGGCTAACTGCTTTGGTTTTGACTAAACGGTTGGCTTTCGAATCTAAAAAACACCCACATAAACTTTGTATTTGATGTAAGGGACTCAGGTAGAATTTTATCACATTGCCATTACTACGCTATTACCTTGACATTTCATACTTGAAATGTTCTGAGCATTCGAAAAAGTAATGATAGGGTGGCAGTTGCCCCATCAAATGTTACCGATGACTTTTTTGGGGGGACAGTGATTCATTGACTAACATTGCGGCCCGATGTATATTGTGCGGTCTCGAAAGCCTGGGAGATGTCGGTAAAATCATGATATAATCTACTTGCTATTGTGTTAATTGACGTGGCTTCACCAACGAAACAAATCAAGAAAAGCGTGTCGTGTTTTTTCCCCAAGCTCTTGAGTTTTACTACACTCAAAGAATTTAGAGTAAACATAGTCGAAAATTATCGATCCAGTGAATGAATATTGTAAATAGACAACACACAACGGCGTGTGTCTCTGTAGCGATATTTAAGTCACTATTTCTCAATGAAACATACTCTTTGTCTGTTTTGAGGAGATGCGTGAAGATATTACGAGGTTATTACGAGGATACCTCAAAGTATGCACGAAGACAGTATAGCGGGAGCCTGAGTATCGACCGACGCGCAGTGGAGGTCTATGCGACAGCGTACTGTATGAATGATTACTTTGAGGTATCCTCATAATAACATTATTATTATACATCTTTTCCTTCCAAGGATACATCATGGAAATGCCGAAATCCTAAAAGTTTACAACAGAATCAGCGAACTTCCTTGCGTGGAGTCTGGTCAAATCCTGGTGGCAGACATGTTACACGCGCGTAATCATTCCATATTTGGAATTCGCATTTCTTAATATGGTAGAATAAAAATACCCCGTAAATTACGGCACGCTGTAACTTATGGCGTTACGATGACAAATGTATATTAATATACAGTAGTACATACATTGCATTTGTTGTAATGACTGATATTCCTATGAGTACTAGTGATACACAAATGAAACATTTTCATATTCAAAAATGTATTGAACTAACATGTCTCAACATATTTGCATTAAGAGTGCAATAGATTTACTATTTAAGGTTAGTCAAGTGAATTGCAAATTTTCATTACATCATTCAAGTGGTTCCTAAAAGTGCATTTGATTCTACCCTGCATTATAGCGTTAAATTCAAATTTTCGGTATACCCGAGTCCAACTCAAAAAAATCACCACGTTCGTGAACGGAATATCGCATTATTAGGTTTGGATTTTATTTTAAGTTCATTTTCTCTATAATAACAAAAATACTTAATTCACATCGTACCATTTCCTTGAATTAAAACTCAGACTAGTAATATGTATTACTAGTCTGAGATTAAAATAACGTATTTCAGACCGATCTTCGATATTTACTTATATACATGTTTCATTTCACCTCAGACTTCTAGATTAGTGTGAAATTTCATTTCAGAATGACACGATTCACAAACCGATACTTTTTTTCTACGATACATTTATATTCCTGCAAATCGCATGCAAGTATAGTTTACATAGATGTACGATTCAGTTAAAATTTATTTTCAAATTAAACTCCTGTGCCTATTCTATCGTTTGTATACTGAATTCCTAATTCGCACACGGCTTTGTGGCATACCTTGACAAGAGTTACGAGTTTAGCATAACTTTGTCTATCTGTGTAGATGTTTATATAGTTTTCTCGCAAAATCACACCAAATCTGAAACATTGACACTATAATTGTGTTGAACTCACATTTGGCGGATTTCCACGGGAACTTGATATACGGGTCACATGATTTGAATATGGACGAGGCCATTAAAAAAAAGTCCCATTATATTGAGCGCACATTTGTCCTACTTTGTATTTTCTTTCTCAACATGTCATATATTCTTGTCATTGTTAAATTATCGTTTCTACAGCAACCACCCCTCGTAAAAATGGTTGTGGCCAGCGGCGACAACTTGTTAAGGTTGCTGGTGACATAAACTCTTACGGCAACTTTGCAATGTTCCAAGAGAAAGCGGTTTTCATGATTAGTTTATTCTGGCGTCCGTTGTAACGAGTTGCTCAACTGTCATGTGTTTACGCGCCCAGTTTATCTCATAGTTTGGTGTCCGGGAAAAAAATGGGCGCGTAACTATTTGTCGTGTTTACTTCCTTGTGTTTTAGTTTACATGGATAGCACACCTGGCGAACTTTAGACTTTTTTACGTGATTCTCGACATGCCCATGGTGATGACGATAATGTATTTATCTCTGACCGTCGTTTAGCCGTACTATCTCCAGCCGCCTCCAGTGCCTATATTTGCCGTGTTGAAACACGTGATATGAAGAGATATCGTCACTTCACTTACTGCCTGACGTCTGTTGTGTTAACAGAGTAAACGATTAGAGCGGTGTTTTGTTTCACATTCATCAGGTTCAACGGATTGCTTCATCATGCCTTCTGCCTGGTCCGTGTTCATGTCTTCAGGGATCGTGGTGTTACTAGCAGCGACAGCATCACATTCAGACAACTGGAGTTTGTATTTGCATGGCAGTAAACTGTTCGAAGCGGCCAGTTTCTTGACCACCATGGGTTTACAACTTTTATCAACGCGATCGCCAATCGAACTCATCCTCTGGCCTTTACTTTTATATATCACATTTAAAATGTATAAACTTTTTTTCACTCCTTTATTTTGGATCCGAAATATGGAGGACTTGGGATATGTCGTAGAACCAGGAAGAAACAAACGAGATGTTGCTAACGAGGTTCGCAAACGACGCGCCCGGGGTGACCTACCTCCCGTCTATCCCAATGGATGGTTTCGCGTGCTCGAATCGTGGCAATTGAAAATAGGAGAAAAGAAAGACCTTACTATTATGGGTGAGTATGACTTATTTTACGGTCTATAATAGGTAATATATAGAGGATGACAGGCTATAACAATGTTATTCAAAGTCCACTAAGTTCATGCTATAACGCACGCACGGCACGGTGTTCACGGGCATTCGAACTATTGACATATGGACAATGTATCACATGTAATTATTTATCTGGACACTACTCATCAATTGGTGGATTCTTTTACTCAAAAAAATGTAGTTTGGAAAAATACTGTCTGAAAAATGCAAAAATGAACTTTTTTGGAACAATTTTTATTGGAATTTATTTTGATTACTAAGCATGTTCAATCTATACAATCTATACGCCATTTGAAAGTTTAGATATAAGCAAATACGTCAGTACACCAACGCCATACCAATGTTTGTCTAAGAGATGACCTGACGGCCAATTTCACAGGTCAACGAAATTTTAAGATGCCGAGTTTTACGCTTTGCAGAGTTCCCGACTCCATATTCACGCTATGTATCGCTACATCACGCTATACGCCATATTCACTTAGAGTGTTCTTCTTTGTAAGGAATCACAATCTGCGTCTTGAATGTATTTTCTAAGCTGTTTTTTCTGGTTTCTGTCGATATATTGTGAAAAACCACAGACCCTCTAAAAGAGGGTCTATGGTTATAGGTAACAAGTGACTGTGGTTAATGTGAATATTCTAATTTTACCAATATATAGACCCATTTAGACATAACATGTATTTTTATTGAATAAGATATTGTACCATCCGTGTGCCTTGATTCCACAAAAACTTAGATAGCATAGAATGTAACTCCAGAAAGGTCGTTGACCTCTTGTGGACTTTTGACGAGCCTCGATAGTGTGTTAACACTGGCAGCCGCAATATAATGAATCCCGATTAGGAATGCAGACAAATGGTGTCAGCTAGCAATATCTACAGTTTTATGTTTCTATGGAATATTTTTATGATTTTTGGTAATTATAATCCTGTATCAGGGGCAAATACAGGATTTTTTTATGGGGGGGGGGTCCAAAATTTAAAATCGCCAGACTAAGTTAATGATTTTTTTATATTATACAAAAACAAATTGAATAAATTTTTCAACGAACCGTCCAATGTTCCGGACCCCAAGAACCCCCCCCCCCCTAGATTTGCCACTGTGTATTTATAAATATACACTATTTATAAATGTCTTAGATTGACCTCATTTATACTTTTTGTTATTTTTTTTTAAATAAAAATTTCGTGCCAGTTAATAGTTATGGACATTAAATGTAACAGCATGTTTTATATACAGACGGTCACACTAAATATAGCGCAATTTACCACCAAACAATATTCCATACAAGTTTGTACTGTGAAGGTAGCAGGAAATGAGTTTTTGCTCAAAAGTCCTTTTATAATTTTTCTGTACATTCTGCTGCTCTATAAATGTGGTCTCTAAACAGACACACACTTACACTCACACAGTGATTGTAAATAGATACACATATTATTCTACAAAGAACATTAAGATTATCACAGTACATGTAGTATTATTTGAGGAAAAGGAATGTTATTTTAATTTTTTTTGTTAAATTATGATTATTTTTCATGTTCATTTTTGTATTGAATTGTTCCCACCTAAATTGTAGCCAGTATTTTCTATGCAAAATGTTTAGATAAATTATTGAATTGTTTCATGACTTTTATACTCACATTCACCATACAAAGAAAAGATTGCACGTCATTAGTTTGTATTATATTGTACACAAGGTCTCTGGGTTAAAAAGCACTTCTTAACAACACCAGAGAAACGACAAACAGAAATATGCAAATCAGATAATAATTTGACAATAGAAGGCACAAGAGTGTAAACTTAATATGTTATGTATTTGATGTACAGCCACACCTTAAATGATGGCATTAGCAGCGTGATTGAACTTTACTCTGGATGAGTCAGTAGAAGTATATGTTAATGAATACATCGTTAAAATTAGACAAAATGCCGAGTTTACGAAAAAGTTACTTGAGATCTTATGTAATATATATATATATATTATCATTTCATCCCCATTTTATTGTAATTTAACTCAAGGTCCTATATAATATATGATATTAATAATTTATTATTATTAAAACTAAAAAAGGCATAACAACATGAACAATGTTCCATGGTGATTTAATCTGTTAATTGTGCAACTCCTAGAATTGACAACTTCCCCTTTATTACGCAAAGCTTTAAGCTGAGGTGCACCTCCACTCAAGCTTGTTATATGTCACAGCAAATTCATTTACTGATTTAAAAATACAATGGAAAACAAAAGACAGATTAACAGAGTAACAACTAATCAATAAATAGTGTTCCATGATTCCCTTGTGCAGTCCCGGGGATTGACTTTTTCTTTTGAATTTTTATTAATGTAAATTGATTAATTAAATCAAATAATTAAACCTTTATTATTTCACTAATTTTAAAATGTCAAAAACACTGAAATTATTAACACTGATAATTATCAATGATTTGTAATAAATAAAAAAAATCGCATTTTTTTATATCTTTTTTTTATGCACAGCTATTAAAAAATAACATTTGTGTCTGAAATAAAAAAACAAAATAGGCTGTGATGCTCATATGAATGTTTGTCATTGGACACGTACACAATATGCATATTTGCTTAGTGTTATAATCTTATCACATACCCATAAAGAAAACAATTATTAACTGTGTTTCATGTCTGTTTTTTGTGACCCATTACGCAGATGTAAAAGGGTTTTAAAATGATTGAGTTTACCCCCCCCCCCCCCATGAGTGGGTTATTAGCACTTGTGTATTAAACTGTGATGTAATTGTTATGTTTGCATTGGAACAGTTGAGAACTTGCTACACTGGGGTAGAGAGGCTTAAATATGGCGGAGACAGCACCAACCACCATCCACAAAGATGTTGTAAGCGTATTGGCATTCTAAATTGTATTTAAGTTTATCTTATTTCAAAGTAGGTAGGCTCGCAATGTGTGTCAAATTTTAAGTCAGTTTAGGTTCTTATGTTGACTTGTAAACATTTTTAAACTCAATTATATGCCATCTGGTTCCAACATAAAGCTAAAAGCAGATTAGCTGTAGATATATGTATGTATATGTCATATGGGTATGGCACCTTACAGATCAAGAAATTAACTATTACTGCTTGAATGAAGAAGTAAATATATGCATTATCTTTGAGTTAGTGCCATTGTGTGCCATATTTATGTCTCCTGTCATTATTGCTGGAGTCAAGATTGAGTTCTTCATGTTTTTTCTTTATTGGGCCCAACTTACATTAACAAAACTTTTTTTAGTGAGAACACGGTTGAATATTGCAGCAATATTGACCCCTGACCTACATACATTGGGTGTTAGTCTGTACATGCATAAAGGGTTTTCTGAAAATGTGCACAAGTGTGCATTTCTCAAAATTGCATACCAGACACAAGTCAGGTAACTATAAAAAAGCAATGTTTCACTTTGTTTCTGTTAGGTCATACACATTTTCTTCTAGTGCGTTTCTGTGACAGGGTTCTACCAATTTGTGCAGGTCCATGATAATCACAGCTTTGCCTTGACCTTTGTTGACCCAACTTGTCAAGTTCATAAACACACAATAATATTTGAAAACTCATGACATATAAATAATTAATATATGACATTTAACGTTAGATAAATATGTGTACTCAGCTTATTGATATAAGTCAAGGTAGTGAGTACATCGTTTTTTATGGATGAATATTACATGATTCACACGTACTCAGTCAACGACTTTTAAGATATGTGGATTGCACATGTATATTAAA